ATCTGAGATGCAGGAGCAGAGGCCAGGCAGGTCGTGGCCCTGAGACGGGCAGACCCTGCTCGTCTAGAATCATTTGAACCTCCAAATCCAGACACTCCAGCAGCCCGTGGTGTGTTGGGGAGCCCAAACCTGTCCTGCCCAAACCTGTCCATGGGTCGTTTTTCTCACCAAAGAAAAAGGGCTCTGAACTGTTTATCTGTTTCCTCAGGGACCTGTGATCAAATCAGCAAGGCAGGACTCAGGTGAGGAAAATGAGGCCCTAGGCTGTCTACAAGTTTGGTCCTTTCAAAGTTCCACAAAGAGGTTGGTGACAAGAGTTGAGATTGTAATTAGGATCTGGGGTCCTTTTCTAAGACTCTGGGTGCTCTGCTAGTAAAGATAGTATTTCTGATGTAACAAGTAGGGGAGAGCAATGAAATCACACTGTATATTTAACTGATAAAGTAAGAAAAATAAAGACTATTTAACCACCTAGTTGTTATATTATTTAAAATATATATGTATATATTTATTTTATAGAGAGAAAGGGAGAGGGATAGTCAGAAACACTGATGAGAAACATCAATCAGCTGCCTCCTGCACACCCCCCACTTGGGATACATGCTCTTGACCAGAGTCGAACCTGGTGGACCCACTGAGCCAAACTGGTCAGAGCATATTATTCTTGTTAATAATAAACAAAGACTTGAAGCTCAAGAGGTTAAATTACATGGATAGCATATGCATTCTTCGAGAGACTAAGCAATGAGATAAAATTCTGTTTTCATGGTCAAACTAGAATTGTAACTTTGAAGTTTTTAGAGGACTAGAAATAAGGTCTTGGGTGCCAGCCCTGACAGCTCCCCTGGTCCTTGAGAAGGAACAGAAAACAATCCTGGGTTCTTTCTGGCCTCTTTGTAGGGGGTTTGGGTGTGGCTCTTCCACAAAATACCACGGCCTGGGGAGTCTATTTTGAAGAACTGGCATTAGAAGTTTAAGTTTAAAAATTTGTCTCTCAAAAAAATTTTTAAATGTTCGTACGGTTGATATTTGGCTCTATTGACTAACGAGTTTGCCGACCACTGTCCTAGGTGATCTCTTCAGACTGCAAAAGGGACTACCATTACTTTTCCACTCTAACTTTCTCACCCATCTGCCCTTACCTGAGAGAGGCATATGAAAAAGGAGTCTGGTGGACAGGGAGACCCTCACAGCCAGGGCTTAGGTTAATAGGTGGCTTTTCTCCATTCCCAAATGCAGTTTCTTAATCATCTTGGATATCTTGCCCAGATGCTGGAGGCTTAAAGTTTGCCAAATCTGGTCTCTGGAATCCTGTGGCTCCACATCATTTGTTTAGTACCTGTCACCTTGTGTAATGTTTAGATATTAGTTCCTTGAGTGTCCCCAGTTTCTAGCGGAGTGTTGACATACTGTAAATGTTTAAGGGATGGATGTTGAAAAGACAGTACCACCATAACTTCACACATCTTCAAATGATTCCAAATACATTGAGAGGTGTTTTTTTTTTTTTTTTTTTTTTGTTTTGTGTGTGTGTGTGTGTGTTTAGAACTTTTGAGTTTATAGCAAAAAAACCCCATTAAAATGTTTATAGCTGTCCCATTCAGAAATATATTTAGTTGCTTTTATATGAAAACTGACTCACAGGAGAGAAACCTGACTGAAAAATCCCCTTCCTCTTTAAACTATAGAACTGTATTTTAATAATTACTATGTTCATAATGAAACTGACAAGAAATAAAACTTGAAAACAGCATCAAGCAAGTCATGTACATTCTGCAGGCAGTGCTCATGTCAGCCTTCTCTCTCCACTTATGTATTATCCACTAAATAGGGAGCATCAATTATTTTGAAATCCAACAACCAAATAAATAGTAGCTGATGCAAACTATTGATTTAGATTTTCATTGACTCTATATATTCACTCAGAAGTCAAACCACTGAGATGTTAACATTTCCCACCCGTGAAGATGTAAAGAAAATACTTATGCTTAGAAGCTTAATATTCTGATAGCCTCTTCCCTCAACCATTCTACCTCCTTTCCTTTTTTTATTACAGTTTCCTCCATGATGTGTATATATTAGTATCAAATATCTTTGGTTTTACCTTCAAGGGGGCAAAAGCTCCTTTTTGCTTTACTGCTGTCTCCCAGTAGGGCACATACCAATCAGTACTTACCTTAGACTGTCAGGCAACTAGTGAATATACCTTTAGTTTTTGCTAGGTTGTGTTGTTCATGAAATAATTGCTTTGGTCAGGTTAGTATCTGCTAATACTTAGTTAAGACTGCATTCACATGCATAACACAGACACTCAGACATACCCAGATTTTTCAGAGTATTTATTACCACAGGATTTTTGAATAAAAATTTCCATAGTTTGACTTTATCTTTGAATAGGTCTACAAGAGTTGTTACCTTTCTTTTCTAGTGCAAGGGTAGGAAAAGTAGAGATAAGACTCCTTTTGAAAAAAAAAATTCAAACCATTTCATAATTGAAAATATATTAACCTAAGTGGTGGGGGTAGGATGGAATCTATTCCTATTTAAAAGTGTTTGCTATATCTATGATGAATTCTGGTGCTGATATTTCTTTCACAGAATCATGTTTGACTGTTATTTTTAAAATATATTTTTATTGATTTTTTTTTTTTTACAGAGAGGAAGAGAGAGGGATAGAGAGGTAGAAACATCGATGAGAATCATTGACCAGCTGCCTCTTATACACACCCTACTGGGGATGTGCCCGCAACCAAGGTACATGCCTTTGACCAGAATCGAACCCGGGACCTTTCAGTCCACAGGCTGACGCTCTATCCACTGAGCCAAACCGGTTTCAGCCATGTTTGACTCTTATAAAACCTACTGAGTATGCACTGCTGGGGAATCTTTCATCCTTAAAACTAGAATTTATTTTATTTGAAGCTTTGGAGGGTTGTTAGTTGCTTAGCCAGCCTACTGCTTCTTTGGTAGATTGTAATAATTGATGGCTATGATTCTTGAGCATTTATTAGGAGCCACTGTGTTAAATCATTAAGCTCCAATAATAATATTAAAACCATACATTTGCATTTAATTTGCAAATCTTATACTTAAGAAATAAGTGCTATATTATCTCTTTTTAACTGTACAATAAAAATGTAGGCCAGGTCTCCCTATTCTCAGATGAAATATTAGAGTCCCAAGTTAAATAACTAGTTAATAGGCCAAATTTTTGGCAATTCCAGGATTAAAATCTAGAAGTCTGATTTGCCATATATCTTAAGCTTCTTTAAGTAGATACAGGTGTTTTATAAGAAGCATTTTCATAAAAAAAATGAAAATCAAAGTATTTTTCTTTTCTCAGCTTTGTCATTAGCCACCAGACTCATTGTCATACATAGAGATATCTCTTACATTTTCTCACTAGAGTGGTACTTACAAAATAAACTTTATAATCAACTTGTGAAATAATGTTCTCAATGAAATATTTGATTAGAATGTTTTTATGGTTTAACGTGGGAGGATTCAACATCTCCTTAAGAGCCTTTTTATCTAGAAACGAGTGGCCCAGTGCATGAATTCATGCACAATGAGAGGAAATTAGAAAAAATATTTTAATATCACTATTTGCCCTTTCTTTATAGAAGTGTCAGAGATGAAAGAAAATTAGTAAAATGTAGATGAAAATAATATATAGATTAATAAAAAACAGTAACAACATGATATAACAAATATTTTCTGTGAAATTTTTGTCAGAATCTTCATTTATCATTAATTTAAAATATGCCAGGTATTCTGGAAAATTTATATCATTTGGACAAACTTTGCCTTTGCTACAACATCGAGTAAATTTTTCATCAGATGGTTTTTCATTGGAGAAATTTAGAGATAGGCAAAATTGACGAGTAACAGTCATTCCACAACTGTGTTTGATAATTGCATCCTCATTTACTTCATTTTCGTTATGAAGGCAGTTCCTATCAGTATTGGTAGTACTTGTCGATGACTTTTCTTCAGACATGTTCTGTCAACAATGCCTTTTTTTCAGCTTCAGACATGTTGTGCCAATAGTTGTTCTTCAGACATGTTGTTTCTTTCAGCCTCAGAGGTACATTGTGGCAACTGTTGTTCTTCAGACATGTTCTGTTGACAATTTCAGCTTCAGAATGTCAACAAAAATGTGACATCATTACCTGGTGCCCACAGTCACCGTTTGCTGTGGGCTGCATTTTGTGCCATAGCTGCGTCAGCTGCGATTTGGTGGGCTATTCCTCTGGGGTAGTGGCAGGGCCTGTGTCCCACTTGAGGACACTTTATTGACCTTTAAATGTTTAGGATACCTAGGGCTATGGGTGTCCTCCAGCCTAGATCCCAGAGTACTTAAAAAAAAATTTTAATCTTAAAAAGATACATGTAGATTAAAAACACATCCACCTCCTATTGCAGTTGATTACTCTTTTCCAATTGTAGTCCCCACTGAGCACCAGGGCAGCCAAGGATATTAATTGGGGTGGAGTAATTGGCTGTCACTAAGACCTTTGCCATTATTTCAGAGTTCAGTCCTTATAATATCCTTCTATTTTCTCATCATCTCCTGGTTACTTGTGACCTTCATATTAAGAACTGAAAGTTTGAGTTTTATTAAATATCAACTCCAAGAATATTACTTGGCTTCTCCCTAATATGACTTCTTCAATAGATTTAGGTGAATAGGTCCTATTTATGAACTAGAGAAAGATGATGGTAAATGAACATCAAAATAATGATAGACAAACACTTGTATGGTGATATATTTAATTCCAAACTCTGTGGTTTCATCTGGGAGCCAGGAAAATCTACCTGAGATTTCTATTCAATAACAGATTTCCTTCCAATATTAATTCCATCATTATCAATTAGAGAATAATCTCTGACAAATAGTTTTTTTTCCATTTGCATTTTCATAGGATTCCTTCCAGCATAAGTTCATGGGTGTTGAATGAGTTCTGTATTCTGACTGAAGATATTATTACATTTACTTGTTATAGAACTTCTCTTTGAGTATGAAGTTTTTGGTGTTTAATAAGGTTTGAATTCCTGTTGAAGGTTTTCTCACATTTGTTACATTTAAATGGTTTCTCTCCAGTATGAATCATTTGATGTCGAATAAGTGAGGAGCTCCGGCTGAAGGATTTTCCACAGTTAACACATTCATAAGTATTATCTCTAGGATGGAGACTTGGGCTTTTATTACTGATTTCACTCTTACTGAAGACTGTTTCACATATATTTCCTTTGTAGGCCTTTACTTCTGGATGACTTCTTTGATGCTTACTAAGGTTTGTTCGTCGGTTGAAGGATCTCCCACATTTACTACATTTATAGGGTTTCTCTCCTGTGTGAATGATCTGATGTCGAACAAGGGATGAACTCCGGCTGAAGACTTTCCCACACTGAAAACATTCATAGCAATTCATTGTGGTATGACTTTTTGGGTGTTGAATATCTGTACTCAGGCTCCCACATTCCTTATATTCTAAATGTTGCTTCTCCACTAAGTCAAAATTAAATTTGAAATTAGTTTTAAACTTATGGCACTTGGGGGACTCCTTCCTCATAGGAACTTCTTGTTGACTATCAAAAACTGAGTTAACTGACTTAACATCAAAGCTTTTTTTATTTTTACTATATTCAAAGTCTCTCTTCTCAGTATCGACTGTCTTATAAATGAAAGCTTCTTGTGGCAAATTTATGTCCCAGTTCCTAAATAACCAATCATCACTTTTGCAGGCATCTAGAGAAGGAAGTCTACTTTGGGTCAATGTTGTCATTATCACTCCATGGGATGTTTCTGCTCCAGAAATTCTCTTTGAAATTGAATCCTGATTTTCTGAAATTACTTGTGTGTCTGAAAAGAAATAAAAATTCCACAAACTAGAAGAAGAAAATTTGCTTAATTAGGAAAGGAAGGCTAAACCATGTAAGGGGATATTCATGTTTTATGCATCTAAAACACAGAATAAAATATGAAGTGAGGCTAAAAAAGGAGAATTACAGAACAAATAAATGAGGTAAAATATTAAAAATTTAGAGATCAACAAGGCATAGAATGGAAGAAAGAGCATTTTATAGAAATGGGATCCAAAAGATAACCGAGGGAGAAGATATAGAAAAGAAGAAACAGAGTAATTTGCCTATCAAATTAATAAAGATTTCAGGTAAAAGATACCTAGTGTTTGCCAGGGTGATAAAACAGAAACAGACTCATCGAGACAGAGAACAAACTGATGGTTGCCAAATGGAAGGGGAGTTGGAGGGCTGGGTGAAAAAGGTCGTGATCTGTTGAGAAGTGCTGCTGTAGAGCCTAAGACCATCGGAAAACACAGATATTTACAATACGATTCCTAACAGTAGCAAAATTACAGCTATGAAAATAATTTTATGGTTGAGGGTCACCACAACATGAGGGGCTATATTAAAGGGTCTTAGCATTAGGAAGGTTGAGATCTACTGTATTAGGATATCAATTCTTATATTATATAAATGTCTAATCACTATGCTGAACACCTGAAACTAATATAAGATAATATTGATGTGAATAAACTGCATCTTTGGACATCTCCCTAAATATACGCATATACAATACACACACACACACACACACACACACACACACACACACACTACTTCTTTGGTGCTGAAGTTCCTTTTCTAATAAAGTTTACTATAGAAATCATCATTTAAGTCTGAAAAATTGGCAATAACCTAAATGTTCAATAATTGTGGTGGGAGGGAGGAATGGTTGAATATACTGATACATGTATGTGATGGTATGTTATATGTGATTTAGAAACCAATTTTCGTATTTAGTGAAATAGGCAATTGTGCATGATATCATATTAAGTGAGAAGAGCAGAATACATATAATGACATATTCCTGATAACCCCCAATTTGGAAAAAAGAAATTGTTACAAGCCACAGAAATACATTATCATAAAGAAAATGGCTTAAGAAAAAAAAACAAAACACACAAATGTTAATACTACATAACTTAGTATTAGTGATGTAATGAGTTGAGTTATATCCCTCATTATAGAAAAATATATTCTATACTTTCTAAAATATATATTAAGCCCACAATTTAAAACAAAATGTTAATAAGAATAAATTATGATGGGGGTAGGGACTTAAGGCACAAGGATTTATATATATAGTTAAAGAAGGGGGAAAAATATGAAGACTATTAAAGCCATTTTAAGATAAAGCAGAGTTTTCTGTTTTCTTAAAAGAAAAAAAAAAAAGAATACCATTTAATTGAGATGGCTAACAATCATTTATATAGCATTTACCAGGTGCCAGGCACTGCTCTAAGTAGTATGTTACACACATGAATACATTTAATCCTCACAGTAAAGTGGAAGTAGACACTACTATTCACTCTCTGTTACAGATTAGGAAACTGGCAGACAGGCCACACAGCTTTAAGTTCTAACCCAAACCACAGTTTTGCTTGTCCACATAAGAAAAAGAATCTGTGAACCAAAAGCTATGATGACTTTTTTTCTTCTGTGGTTTTGTCATCACCTTCCCAACTATCAATCAAAGGCTGGTAGTACAATGTTAAGTTTAACAAACAGAAGCTTTTTACAAATGCCTCGTATCTGCCTGCCTCTTACCAAGTATGGCTGTTCTTGGGATTTCTTGCTCCATTATCCATCCTTGTATCTTACTCTCCAACTTGGGGACCTCAACTGGTTTGGAAAATAGAAGCTCTGTTTGGGAAAAATGAAAACAACACAATAAACAAACATACATGACACTCCAGACCTTTTTATAGGAAAAAGAATTCCAGCCCAACATAGTATTCTACGAGCTGTTGAAAGATTAGGCCAGAATCATCATACACCTGTGTATTTCTAAAACACTGCATCAGAAAGAACTTTCAGCCAGATACAGCAAAAAAATCTGCTGTTGTGCCCGAAGAATATTAAAAAACCTGAACCTAATCCCAAATGCCCTTAGTCACTTCAGCAGTCCTATATTTAGTAGATGAAGAGATTATGTTTAAAAATATGTATTTTATTGATTTTTCACAGAGAGGAAGGGAGAGGGATAGATAGCCAGAAACATCAATGAGAGAGAATCATCGACCACCTGCCTCCTGCACACCCCCCACCGGAGATGTGCCGGCAACCAATGTACATGCCCTTGACTGGAATCGAACCTGGGACCTTTCAGTCCGCAGACCAACGCTCCATCCACTGAGCCAGACCGGTCTCGGCGGATGAAGAGATCATTAATGAGATTAGGTAAGTACATAGAAGCCACCTTTCCGCAGTGAACTGAGGTTCCTATAGTTCTCCAGCATCACATCCCTGAACAAGTTCTTCACAGCGGGGTCCAACTGCCCCCACTCTTCCGCGCTGAATTCCACAACCACATCTTTGAATGTCACTGGTTCCTAAAACATTAAGATCCTTTTTAATCAAAGATCACTCCAAAAATATTACTAGAGGAGAAATAAATTTTGAAAGAATACAGGAGGAGCCAGTACATACAAAGAAATTGATAGGTCAATCTTTGGGGTTCTAAAGGATGAAAATCATGTTATATTAGGGGCCTATCCACTTGGAACTCTGTGAAGGCCACAAAAGGAAAATTAATTCTATTAGCTTACATTTTGCTGGAGGAGGGGAAAAAAACAACAACAACAATTGGGATAACTGTGGAACAAAAATTATTATAGAGTATAAATAATTTATGTTAAAGGAGTTCAGAGCAAAGAGTTGAAGGTAGATTTGAGGGAAATTTGTAATGAAGATGTAGGCTTCAATAGCAGAGGAGGTAGGGCATTTTCTCCAATTGAGAAATGCAGCCTGCTAACCTGTTCTCACAGCCTGATGGTAGCTTATCGGACAGGCCTTTCCTGATTACCCAAAGTAGCCATTCTCTTAATCAGTCTCCACTGCATATTTCTTTTCTTTATAATTATTATTTCTGTCTACAATTATCCTTTAAAAAAATATTTTTATTGATTTTAGAGAGAGGAAGAGAAGAGGGTGGGGAGAGAGAGAGAGAGAGACATCAAAATGAGAAACATGGGTCGGTCACTTCTTGTATGTACCCAGACAGGGGAACCAACCAGCAACTTGGATATGTGCCCTGACAGATGCTCAACCAACCAAGCCACACCAGCCAGGGCTGCAATTAGCTTATTTGCTTGGTCTGCCTGTCTGCTTTGACTATAATCTCCACAAAGCCAGGGTTTTGTTACATTTACTGTCATAAAAAAAGTGGCATATTAGGCACTGCATAAACATTTCTTCTTTTTTTTTAAAGATTTTTTTTCATTTGACTTTTAGAGAGAGAGAGAGAGAAGGGAGAGAGTGAAACATCAACTGACTGCTGGGGATGGAACCCACAACCCAGCCCACAACATGTGCCCTGAATTGGAATCAAACTGGCAACCTTTTGATGCATGGCATGACATCCAAGCAACAAGGCCACCCTGGCCAGGGCTGCATTAAACCTTTCTTAAAAGGGCCCTCTTACCATCAACAGTTGTCGAATTTTTCTCAGCATTCTCAACCTTATCATTGCTGGCACCTTCAGTCACACCGAAATATATAAATCCTTTCCCTTCCCCTACTTCAGAGCCTGTCTTTGTGAATGTCATCTACATTCGTTTTGCTTACTTCCTCACGTTCTCTGCAACCTGGTTTTTATTCTCATGCATATTAGAAGTTCCATGATGATAACTGGACACCAAGACACTACCCAGGCTGGATTTTCCTAATCTCTAAGGGATTTCTTCTTGAAATATTCTCATCTTGTGCTTTCAGTGACAACATTTTCCTGGTTTTTCTCTACTACTTCGTTTATTTCATTTCAGTATCCTTTGAGGTTTCTTCTCTGAAGATTAGTGACATTGGCTCCCTTCACTTTTAATTCTGAACATTCTCTGGATGGGCTCTATTTTAATAGCTTCAATTATTGTTTAATGTTTTGAAGAAATAAATGTACCAAGAACAAAGATTATATTTTTCAAAAAGTGTACCACCAACTAAAATAGGTCCAATGTCCTGAGGGAGAACAAGTCTCGTGTCCTTAGATATAACCGTTTGACAAAAGTTCAAAGGTCAAGAAAGAAAAATCAGCTCATTTCAGTAAAGAGTGGAATCCTAATTCACCTGGGATTTGCCTGTTAGTGAATCTGCTTCCATTTTCTCCTTCTGGACACTCACCTTCTGGAGAAGGGAAGAATCCTCGCAAGGAATATCTGAAGAAGATGAAGAAAAACATTAAGGAGACAAACTATGTTTTGGAGAAAAGTTTAATGATTACAGCAGTGATTATAACATGCTATCCATAGGAATCAGCTTTAAAATACTTTGAAAAAATAGTGATGCAAAGCTCTACAACCAATCAGAATCTACCATGGTGGGCCTAGATCTTATATTTTTACAAAGCTCTAAATGTGATTCTGAAATTCCACCAGGGATTGAGAACTACTGGATCAGAGGGAAAAAAGCCAAAATAATATTTTGACTCCTCATTTGTGGTTATAGCAGATCCCAAAAATAACTTTAACCCTGTCAAAACTAAATCCTACCTAAGACTTAGCACCATAGGTTGTGGTTCTATTGGGAGCTAAGAATACAGGGTGGGACAAAAGTATTTTTACAGTTGTATGAGAAACATTTCTGCAAAAAAATTATATTATTTTCCTTACAAACAACTGAAAACATACTTTTGCCTCACCCTGTATTTTATCCTACCAATCCCTTCCTCAAACACATTGGTGAGACTTGTATTCAAGGGTTCTTTACCGCTAAGTTGCTCTGTGTATACCCTATACAGACTTAGGCAGTCTGGTCACCCTAAACTACTGGTTCTTTTAAGTATTTAAATACCTCGGTGGCAACCAACTTTCCTCCAGTACATTAGTGAGAAGTATACCCAAGGGCCAATTTCCCAAAGTTTCTCCAAGATTCATTAGTTATATCAATGATCCTCAAATACCAGACTATAAACCAATACTAGTCTGTGAAGAAGTTTTCATTAATTCAGGGTAAAATAAGAATACAAACAATGTGAGAAATATTTTATGAGACCCTTTTGTAAATAAAGGCAGAATTTGGGGGTGGGGGGGAATCAAATTTCTCAGCAATATACTATTTGAATGCTGCCTAAAGGTTACTTTCTTCTCTATGCTTTAATTTCATAGCAAATCACTTCAGCACTCTTTTTACTCAAATTAGGAATTTTTAAACTGTGTATCTTTAAACTCTGTTCTTTATCAAGGCTATTTTGGATATGTGGGGTTTTTGTGTGTTTTGCTTTGTAATTCCATTTGAATTTTAGGATCAGCTTTTCCATTTCTGCAAAAAAAAAATGTAGCTGGAATTTTTATATAAATTTCATTTGAATCTGTAGATTGCCTTGTTTCACTTTAGTATTGATCATTGCTAGTATACAGAAATACTATGGATTTTTGTATATTAGTCTGGTGTCTTCAAACTTTTTTAAAACATCTCTTTAAATGTTTTTATTGATTCAGAAAGGAGAAAGAGAAACACCAATGATGTTTCTATCAAGGGGAATCATTAATTGGCTGCCTCCTGCATAAATCCTTTAGGTTCAAAATCCTGTTTTTCCAATGCTCTCTTCATTCTGTAACACCTGACCTAGTCTTTTGACCATTTTTTCCCCCCAGAGCTTTCAGGTCTATCCTTAATATAAGCAGTTGGAAAAACCTTTTCTGCAAAGATCCAGATAAAAATATTTTAGGTTTGTTGCTATATAGTTTCTGCTATAACTAACCAACTTTGGTCATAGCATGAAAGCAGACAAAATATAAATAAATGGGTGTGTCTGTGTTCCACTAAAACTATTTCCAAAAATATTTTGCCTTTGGGTCATAGTTTGCAACCTCCACTCAACAATGATACCAACATATTTTTAAAACGCACACCAAATTGTTGCACTCCCCTACTCAACCTGTAAGATCTCATTCTATTTCTATAGCCTACAGAATAAAATCCATGTTTTGTGATATGGTCAAGTTCTTCATGATCTGGCCCTTGACACCTTCTAGCTTCAAAAAGGATAATTTTCCTCCTTTTTAATTGAGGAATCATTGACATATAACATTGTATTAGTTTCAGGAGTGCAAATTAATGACTCCATATTGGTATACAGGTATATTGTGAAATGATCACCATAATAAGTCTAGTTAACATCTGTCATTATATAGTTACTAATTTTTTTCCCTATGATAAGAACTTTTAAGACCTACTTTCTGAGCAACTTTCAAATATGCACTACAGTATTGTTAACTATGTCACCATGCCATACCTTACATCCCCATGGCTTATTTATTTTATAACTGGAAGTTTGTACTCTTGGACCCCCTTCGCTCATTTTGCCCACTCCTTACTGCCCGCCACTGGCGACCACTAATCTGTTCTCTGAATCTATGAGCTCAGTAATTTCATTTTTGTTTTCAGATTTCAGAGAAGAGCCAACTATTCTACATTCAGTTTTCTCTATTCTCACCTTTTTCTTGAATTACATCTTCTATGAGGCTCACCACTTCTTTGCTGTTCTTTGGATGATGTAAATTCACCCAAGTCCTCACCTCTTCAGGGAGAATGGTCAGGAATTGTTCCAGCACCAACAGTTCTAGGATCTGCTTCTTAGTATGAACCTCTGGTCTCAGCCACTGAAGACAGAGCTCCCAGAGCTGGCTCAGGGCTTCACGAGGCCCAGACACTTCCAAGTACTGGAAATGTCTGAACTTTTGACGCGAGGCCTCAGAGTTACAGGTCTCCCTGACTGGTGTGGTTTCCTGCTGCCAAGACACATCTCCGTTCAAGTCCTCACGGTGTTCATTCAGAGTCAGGTTTTGAGGTTTTGAGATAGCCATCGACTTGTTCAGGGGCTGCATCTTTGTTTGAATGTATCTTATCAGAGGAGTCCTGTAAGTGTTAGGATTGGGTTAAGTACCTGTATACTACATATATATATATATATATATATATATATATATATAGTATGATTTGAGCCAAGTGATATCTCACAAGAAAATTTTCAGGAATTCCAGGAGTTTCAGATATAAAGCCAACATTCAGGTTCCTTGAGAGACTGAAAAAAAGACACAAATATGATCTTCTAGATAGTGAACATATTAGCATAGTGTTAAAAGATAAAATAGTACAAATAATATTCTTAAAATTACTTAAGCAAATAAATATAATGGATTCTCCTTTCATTCTTATTTTTCTTCTTTATAACAGGAAAATATGCTATCCCTTCCCCCCAATTCACCAAAAAAGACAAAGAAACAGATATCACACAAACAAGAGATAAATGAAATATTCCTTTGATTAAAACAAACTTCATAATTTAACTCGTGTCTCCTGTACCAGGTTACAACTCTATTTTGCTTTATAATTAAGCAAAACAAATCTTCAGGCGGGATATTAAGTTTTAATACTGGAGATGCCTAAAAAACTTCTTAAGTTCCCATTAAAATACCAATAATGTCATATAAAATGAGTAAAATTGGCACTACCACTAGAAATTAAAGCAATTATTTAAAAATACAACAAACATTCATGAGCTATTTTATTGTTAGGAATTTTTTACAAAGTAATTCCAAATTATAATAATTAATTATTTTTTATTTGTTAGAACTCACTAGGGACCAGTCTGCAATGTCCACCATGGAAGTCTTAGGCTCAACTAAACAGACCACAATACTACCATGGATCACATTTGGCTATTAGACAGAAAGCACAGATTGTTAGCAGAGTGAGTACCTGGCATTTTTCTTCAGTGGGAACCCTCACAAAATATAGCTCAAGTCAAGAGACCCAGCTAGGCTGTTCATCTTGATTGAGAAGCCTATCCGCAGGAGCCAATATTTTTTCTAAAATCTCAGAGCACAGCACCCAGAGTTCCCCAAAGAGCTTGGCCAACTACAGCAGTCATTATGTCCAGGGAAGTTCAGATGTACCTTTCTGTCCAATTTATAATACTGCTAGTCTGGATACAATTTACCGTTCAAAGATCTTTTTTTATTATATACCTCTAGGCCCGTGGTGTTCAGGGGTGATTTTGCCACCAGGGCAATGCCTAGAGACAGTTTGGTTGTTGTGACTGGGAGTTATTACTGGCACTTAGTGGGAGTAGCTACTAAACATCCTACAATATACAGCCCTCTAATATAAAAAAATTATCCAGTTCCAAATATCAATATTTTCAAGATTAGGAAACCCCGACAAAGGCAATAAATAGTGACCAGGAGTACATACTTTGTAATCTACCTGATCTGAGGTTAAATCTCAGCTCAAGTTACCATACGTATGAAACTGAACTTTTGGTGCATGTAAGGCTTTGCCATTGCTCCACCATGAAGCTTGAGCTGTGCTCTATAGACTATGATGTGCAGTATTTTTAATTTAAGTTGGTTTTTAGAAGCAACATTTAATTTTCCTACTATTTAAGAGTGTATTTTTTTTTTCCTGGTTTTCAATCTGGTAATAAATGTTGTCAGTACCACTCTATATTCTTTTTCTCTATTGAGTTTTTTGGCAGCCTAATAAATAGCTTTTGTAAACATTCTCATCAGTGCTTGCATTCTATCTGGTTTAAATATCAGACTACCCATGTTATTTCTGTGCACTACATTAGTAATTAATTTTAGAGTGTTTTTTTTTTTAAGGACTCAGAAAGTTGCCTTAATCTCCCATTCGAATGTGTCATTGTTTATCTCATCTCATTTTTCAGAGGGTTTTGCTATAAATATATTTCATTTATAGTTTTAGGTGCATTTAACAAGTTGAAGAAATATCAGCTCCCCACCCCGACCCTCTGACCTCGACCCTCCGACCCTCTATCTCGGCCCTCCGACCCTCTATCTCGGCTCTCTCCCGCACTAAATGCCCCCCGCAGCCCTCGCCCCCACCCTCGACAGCTCGGGCCACCCGCCCGCTTCTCCCGCGGAGACCGCGGGGCGCCCCGTAGGAACCCGGCCCCTGGGAACAAACCGGAGGCCGCGATCCGCGTAGCCGCCCGCCAGCGGGGCTTCCAATTCCACGTCCCCGCGTCCTCACCGCCCGCGGACCCGGTGAAACCTACGAGCAAGGCTCCCGGCCCGCGCTCCGTTCGGTCACCGCAGGCGGCAGGTCCCCGGAGGGCCGCGGGACCGCGTCCTGGCTGGCGATCACCAGGACCAGGAAGCCCCGCCACTCCGTGTCTTTAAACGCCTCCGCCGCCGCCTCATCAGTGTCTTACCTGCACGCCGGCCGCGCAGTCCTGCGCACGCGCACCAGACTTGGAAGGAGACCCAGGGGTCTAAGTGGATTGGCTCCGGAGGGGCGTGGGCGGGGTCTTCCTAGCCCCGCCCACTGGTATAGGCCACGCCCACTATAACATTGTGTCTAGCCGTAGGGTCAGGATGGGATGGATGCAATCCTTGGAGGGTTGGTGGGAGAAGGATGTGTCAAATTTAAGTCGCTAACCCCATCCCTTATAAGGAAATTAGCTAAGATCTTTCTTACCTTCTTTCAGCACCCCTATGCTCCTAATTTGCTTGGAACAACAAAAAAAAAGAAACAACAGTGACACAGTTTCCACATAATACCGTCTTGCGTGTAACATGGTTTAGCATGGGTTTTCTTGATTCAGTTTTGTATCTTGTAGAAGAGCATGAGTTCAGGTTTGGCTTATTGAGGATGAGATATGTTCTGACATCCAAGAAGCAATGTCAAATAGACGATTGGTGTCTGGATCTTAGGGCTAGACATGTAAAATTAGTGTCATTTCTGGATAGATGGTAATTGATGTTATAAGTGGGAGTGAGACTACAGGCAGATAGGTAAAAATAGAGAAAATAGTTAAAGGAGAGGGTACCGGGCCTCAGAGGAAGAACTTACACTAGTCAGTCAGGGAAAGCCTTTTTAGGGATGGTGCTATAAATCTAGGGCATGAGCTGACCAAGGTAAAACAAGATGTGAAACTAGGATTTTTTGTTTTGTTGCAACTTCTTCTGTAATCATTAATATCATAAGTGAATTATAAGTATCATGTCAATCCTCACCACAATACTGTATGATAGAAATTATTATACCTTAATTTATTGAAACTGAAAGATGGCACAGCTAAGCTTCAAGCTCAGATCCCTTCAAATTTGTTCCACAGCTATTTACTCAATGCTACAGAATTAGATGATTATTGGTAAGATATGACAGTATGGTGGAATGATGTGTGCCATGATGGGATTGGCATTTTGAAAATTCTATATAATAAAAGGCTAATATGCAAATTGTCCCCTTGGGAATTTGACAGCCCACTAAGATGTGTGCTGACCACCAGAGGGCAGCGTTGAACAAAGGAAGGCCCCAGTCAGCAGCCAAGAGCCAAGGAAGAAAGGCCCCCCGGCTGGCCCTGATCGCTGGCCAGGCCTAGGGACCCTACCCATGCATGAATTTTGTGCGCCGGGCCTCTAGTCATATATAACTAGCTAGGTATAATAAAAAATTTAACTTGCAGGTATTGTCAGTAAATATGCTCAAACATGGTCTTCAGCCGATTAAGAGAGCATGGAAATGAAAAATGCAATAAAGAGGAGTGCGAATATCAGCCTTCCTTTCATACTTCTAGTAGATAAGAAGTTTCTGACCATGTTTTCAAAGGTCCAAGGAAACCCATACATTGCTCTCTAACTGAATAAGGGTAATTTTCAGGTTTCAGTCAACTCACTGAAGGTCCAGCTATTTTTATAGCACAATTTTACAAGTTTTCTCTTTTAAAAAAGAAATACTTTATTAAGATTTTAATACCTGTTGCTTTTCTCATTGGAAACAATAGAGGCCAGAAGACAGTGAAATATCATCTTTAATATGCTGAAGGAAATAAACTCTTATCATGTTAACTCTAAGAAAGTTGAAAATGTTAAAGCTGTTTATTGTAATCTCTAGAGAACCACTAAAGAAGATATGTTTGTCATTGTTAAGACAAAGGACTCCAAACCCTTCTGGAACTAGATCCTTTAGATGCATAGACTTGTTTGTTACAAACTCCATTCCCTTCTATCATCATGAAATTAAGCTTCTCTGATTTATTGATTCACTTATTATTAATTAACCTGTCTGTATTTTTTAATTACTTAAGCCCATATTTTTTCTAGACTACTATATTCATTCAGCAAATTTACATAGAGAATCTAATATGTGGCAGATACTGTACCAGTAATTGGGAATATGCTAGTAAACACAATCAGATGAGGACTTCCTTAATATCCTCTCCTCTCCCTCACCTTTTCCCTCTGCCTCTGCCTCTGCCTCTGCCTCTCTCTCTGCCTCTGCCTCTCCTTCTCCCTGATCCTGCACTGATGGTCTTGGCAGTGTAAAGTGTGCCAACTAGTGCTGAATAGCAGTTCTGTGAGATGCTTTGGGTCTACACTTGTGGCTACAGAACCATCATCTCAATATTAGTTCTTTTAGTTTTTATCATGTATAGTCAGTTTTTGTTACTTCAATTAAGAACCCTGACAGATACATCATATTAATTATTATTTTGGGGGGAGTTTATGAAATATTTTTTTCTTTAAGAGCTTTCGGCCCTTTAGTGCCTTTCTCCCTCCATAGATTGAGAGGTAGTAATTCCAAGCAGACAGCTCTTCATTGGTAGTGAAAAAGACCCACTGGCATCTGTTTTGATGGAATAAATGGGGGCATGATTCTCTCAGGGTTTCAGTTATCCATTGCTGCATAACAAACCATCTTAAAACAGTAAACATTTCATTTTGTTCAGGATTCTGTGGGTTCAGAATTTGGACAGTGGGGATGGCAGTTATGTTAGATAAAGGAATCTTAAAAAGTGGGTGTTTGTGTGAGAATTGATTTGGGGTAAATATACAAACTGATTTTAGTGAGTTGTGGA